GGGACCCCGATCCTGAGGCCCCATGAGTAGTAGGTGGAGGGAGGTAGAGAAACCCATGGAGGACACAGAACCTCCCCCCAAACATCAGGACGGGCCCCGGGGGACCCGCACCCTTTCCCATTGTGGGGGTCACTCGTCCTTATAATGAATCGGTGGCCGAGCACCACCATGGCAGGCCGCCCCGACCAAGGTAAAAGATTGCCCCGGGCCAGCCAAAGGGCGCAGAGAAAAGGGCCGTGACCATGTGGGGTCCCACCGCAGGCCTCTGCGACCCCTCCAGCCAGACGAGAGCAGCCCCATTCCCACCGGAGGAGTCCCTACCTACAACCAGGGACCAGCCTGGCAGGGCCGGCCTTAGGCCTTTAGGCGCCCTGTGCGAGAAAGCTTTACAGCGCCCCTCAGTGGCCACACCCCTCAGTGAACACACCCTTTAGTGGCCACACCCTTTAGTGGCCACACCCCCAGTAACCACACCCATTCCCCCCATATCCGCACCATTTAAAGACTCCTATTTTGTGAAGCCGCAAAGAAACATATTACAAAGTGATACAAATAAAACTTTTATAGAAACGTATCAAACTTGTCGGCACAATAGAAATCTTCTCATCGAATAAAACAACAGAAGGTAAACAATAGATGTCAGACTACAATGGAGTCTATAACAATAGAGTGTCCGGTCGTCATGCCGACCCCTTCCTTCCAGTCAGTGTATCTAGAAAAATAGAAAACAGAACACAGACCCCGGACTACATGTAACATACATGAATTACTACATGTCCGAAATATACGAGAAATGTATCCGGCGCATATTAATAATAATTTGTTTGAGAATGTGCGGCGGCCACGTTGGCCCCCCCCCCCCGGCGTGTTCTGTGAATGCGTGCCGCCATCCTGGAGGCGGGGAGCGTGACGTTACATGACGCCGTGCATGCCTGGCGTCAGGTGACCTCACACGCCGATATTGGCGCCGCCCTCTTGGTGTATACCTGGATATACACCAAGATGGCGGCGCCCAACACGTGCGGTTTTATATGACGTCATGCGTCCCGCCTCCAGAACACGCCAATCGCTGAATCCAAAATAGCAGAAAAAAGTGTTTTGTTTGATGAAACGAATGAAACGTTTTTAGTTTTCGTTCATTTTATCTGAAATGAATTTATAGTGTTCGCACTAATGTCTAATAATATGTGTGTGTGTGGGTGGGGGAGGAAGGGGGGGCAGTTTTCACTTTTTTAAAATAATAATTATTTTTTTTCATAATTTTTTAATTATTTTTTTATTTTGTACTGTTGGGGGAGGGGCTTCGGGGAAATATTAGGGGTCCAAACAGACCCCTGACATTTCTCTTGTAAAATAGAAAAGAAATTGAGGACACCAAATCATCAATGTCTTTTTCAGCAGCCTCAGCACTCAGTACAGAGGCTCCTCCCATTCAAATATCTACTATCAGCTGTTTCTGAATGGGGAGGAGCCTCTGCACTGAGTGCTTCTCCCCATTGAGGAAATCTTGAATGAACAGGAAGTGATGTAAATCACATCCTGTTCATTCATAACTGGGGACACATAGTACTATGTGTCCCCAGTTATGAATGAACAGGATGTGATTTACATCACTTCCTGTTCATTCAAGATTTCCTCAATGGGGAGAAGCACTCAGTGCAGAGGCTCCTCCCCTTCAAATATTTACTATCAGCTGTTTCTGAATGGGGAGGAGCCTCTGCACTGAGTGCTTCTCCCCATTGAGGAAATCTTGAATGAACAGGAAGTGATGTAAATCACATCCTGTTCATTCATAACTGGGGACACATAGTACTATGTGATCAGACGATGGCTCCGGTGTTTGTCCTTCTCACGCGGAGGATCTGTAAATATCAATGATATTCACCCATCCCCCGCTCTGCCACGCACGGCCCTGAAGCCTGGAATGCAGTCAGTGTTCCCCAATCTTAGCCCCGCCCACTCTCACCACAGCCCCTCCCACACACATTGGCACATGGCTTCTCTTCCAGTGTGTAGTAAGTGGGGTGCAGAGATTGCTGCAGTGGTGACTCCTCAGCCTGAGCTTCACCTTCCTTCCTCTAGCCACGCCTCCTTTACAAGATGGACGTTCCCCACTTCCTGTTAGGAAGACATATACATTGTAATGTGTCACATCCTCATCCAGGACAGTTGTCAGATACCAGATTGGACTCAGCCATCACTCCATGGTTGTCTGTGTATGGTGACATGTGAACAGCAGTGAGGTCACATGGGGGGGAACAGTGTGGGCTGAGCTCAGCACAAACCCTGCAATGCATTGTGGGTAGGATGCGACATGATGACACAAAGGATTACAGTGACAGGAGGAAATAAACACAATGGAGGAAGTTTCAGAAAATGGAAGAGAAGCCAGAGAATACAATGTAAATAACAGCTAGGGGCGGGGCTTCCATGGCTGACTGTCAGGCTTCACAATGGCCGTCCCGCTGTGTGGAGACAACCCGGACTTCTCCTCACCATCACCCGTACGGAATCATTACAAGGCAATCAGCCGCTGTCACCGGGAAAATGGCGGCGTTCCTCTCCGGGGACACTTTCCGATCACACCGATGTCTGTGCCGAGCGCACGTCATCTCTAACCGCGCCCCCCTCAACATCTTCTGTCACGCTAAAGAGATTACCATAACAACCGACCCCGCCCATATATAAAGTGACATCGCAGGAGGATTGTCTCTTCCCGAAATCCGTAGTGACGCCAGGTGTGGCACGTGTGTGGTGTGTACATTGTATGTGCTATGTATGTGAACTGTATACGTCATGTGTGTAGCGTTATATGTATAATATGTTGTGTAAACGTTGAGGGGAATTTCATAAAACTGGAGCGGCTGTGCACTGGAACCAATCAGCTTCCAGCTTTTATTTTCAAAGCTTTACTGAACAAGCTGAAGAGAGAATCTGATTGGTTAGTGTGATTGTGTACCCCTCTAACTGTCATGGTTCCTTCCTGTGCAGGGTGCAGATGTCCCCGGAGGTGACGGTGACGGTGCGGTTGGTTCGATCCTTCGAGTATCGGAATTTCCGCCCGGTTGTCTATCACGGCGTGGACTTGGAGCAGACGGCGCAGCAATTCTTAGATTACCTAAAGAAAGGTAACGGACATTGAGACGTGTCATAGCCGTCCTCTGGCTTCATACCATCATCTCCTATCGCAGAGCTAGAGTGCCGGGGACGTGCTGTGTATGACGGCTCCTCCTCCCACCTCTGGTGTCTCCATCCTCTGTATTCGTGTCTCTGTGGGTAATGGTGTCACCGTTTTTCTTGCAGACATCGCTGTGCGGGACGGACTGCCGCCTCCATTTAGGAAGTACATGTACGGTGAGTCCTGCGGGATTGTTGTACTGCACCGCTGCCCCGGCCGCCGATATAAAGGGGGACTATCATGTGTCACTGACAGGCCTCCACCTTATCTACTCATACGTGAGGAGTATTAGAGTATAACCCTGT